CAGTTCTATCATTTTTAATTTTGGCCTAATATTTAGTTCTTTTATCTCTGCAGTAAAGAATTCCCTAGTGTATTATATGCTTTATTCAAGCCCAGCTATTATCCTTATAACTGTTGTTTTAAATTCTAATTTAGACATTTTATTTATGTCTGTAACAGTTAAAACCCTAGCCATCACTTCTTCCTGTTCTTTCTTTTCAGAGAAATTCCTCCGTCTTGTCATTTTGGAGGTTAAAAACAAAAAGGAAGGTAGATTCTAGGTGTGTGTTTTGGTCTGCTTGTTAAGAGAAGCTTGATTAAAAATAATTAAAAATAAAAAATAGAAATAAGATTGAAATAAATAAAATTAAGCTTTTTTGTATCAAAAAAGCACAAAGGAAGCTAAATCCAGTTTCCTCTAGAACTGAAGGTTTGAAGCACTCTCTGATCAGTAGCCTTGGTGTGTGCAAGGGGTTTGTACTGGTCTTCTGAGGGAGGGGTCTATTGCTCTGATTCTCAGGCCAACTTGTCCTAGTGAAGATGCCCCTTAGGGTGCAAGGGGGGGGGAATTGTTGTAAGTGTCTCCAGAATTCACTTGGTGGCGCTGTTTTTCTCATTTCCATCATCAGCGGTGTTGGGTAGGGTGTGATTATGGCTTTGTCCTGCTCTCTCATCTCCAGAGTGGGGAGCACACACCTGTCACTCCTCAGGAAGTCCTCACAGATTAGCAAACAATCACCTTTCCTGTGTTCTTGGCTTCCATCAGATCACTTCTTTCACCTGTCTGTGTCCAAGTTTTCTGCCTGCCAGGCGGCACAGCACTCCTGTATTTTATCTCAAGCTCTGCAATGTTTCAAAACCCCAAACTTCAGAGACCCCCAGGACACAGACCTGCTCTGATCCTCTGAGGGAAGTTCTTTTAGTACTGTGGCTGATGTTGGTTTGTCCCAGGAAATGTTAGGGTGACTACACAGTGGTTTGGAATTTATGGTAAATCAAAGTCGACATCAAGGTTTGCTGCCCTCAACCGGCTTCTTTATTCCTATGCTTGTGATTGAGGCAGCTCAGTGCTGCCTTTAGAGTCTTTTGTCCCTGGAGGGGACATATCACCTTTATCAACTTCACTCCTTGTAGGGAAACTGTTTCTCCCTGTGCAACCCAGGGGATTCTCAGACCATGTTGCCCCCTCGTGAGTCTCTGCTCTTCTTCCCCACTGGAGCACCACTAAATGTTGCCAGGCACAATCCTGGCAATTGCACTGACTTCTGAAACCATATTCTATGTTCTGCTGTTTATAAAAAACAAACAAACAAAAAAAACTTGCAGTATTTAAACCCACTCCTCCTGCTCAAAGGTTTTAGGGAAGAGTTTTCTCCTGCAATTCCCTGCAGGTGTTTTCATTCTTTTTTCAGTCTTTATCTCTTCCTCTTTCTCTCTTGCTTCTATCTCTGCAACAGGGATCCCTCCCCTCCACAGCATCCATGGCTCTTTTCTCTCCTATATCAACTTTCTGCAGCTCCTATCTGCCATAGGGGGTCATTTTTCCTGCTTGTAGATGTGCAGCTTTGTTCTCTCAGTCCTCAGATCAATTTCTTGGGTGTCAGAATGATTTGATATTTATCTAGCTGTTTTCTAGGGAGCTGTTTTCATACTTTATTTATTTAAAAAATTCCATAACTTAAAAGAAACATGGTGTAAATTTCCTGGAATTATAAAATCATTTGGAATTTAGGATTTGGTAGTTGGTTCATATGTACATACATATAAACAGGCATGCAAAATATTTAGATTTTTTAAAGTTCATTCATTTATTTTGAGAGACAGAAACAGCATAAGCTGGGGAAGAGTGGAGAGAGAGGGAGAGAAATAATCCCAAGCAGGTTCTCGATGTCAGTACAGAACCCAATGCAGGGCTCAAAATCATGAACTGTGAGATCATGACCTGAACTGAAACCAAGAGAGGGATGCTTATCCAACTGAGTTACCCAGGGACCCACCCCCAAAGTGTTTAGATTTTATATAATTGCATCCAACTGAAAAAAAAAAGGAAACTCAGAAAAAAAACACATGCAAATCTCATCTCTAAATAGCATAAATAAATAAATAAATAAATAAATATCAAAGTCCATACAATAAAGATAACATATTCCCTGGAAATTGTCTTATAATCAAATGTACTATTTTGAGCTATACGTAAAACTAACACACTTCTCTTTCTTTTCTCAACTTACCATATTTAGAAGAGACACCTTGAACCTAGAAGCAGACACAATGAAAAAAATAGACCTATCTAACAGAAAACTACAAAGCAAAATCACTTATTAGAGTTGTATATACTAATTTAAGAAACCTAGCCAACAAAACTAGTTTAGGGACAAATGGTCCTAACTACCATAAGAGCTTCTGAAGTCATGATTTATACTACAGTCACAATCTTTATGGTTTATTATTAAAGATAAATCATGCCACAAACTATTTTAAATGGTAAAAAAAAATCATATAACTGCATCTCTGTAAAGAAATTTTTAAAACTATTTAAATAAGTACATTAAAGTTTTGGGTAAAATCATTTATGGAAAACATCTAATTCCCTAATACTGTCATATGTAGTAAATATATCTATTTGACAACTCCCCTTCTGCTCACCCACTCTACCAATTGGTACAGAAAAGCCATCATGATTTATGCAACTCAAAACATTGCCATCTTTGGCATCTCTTTCTCTTCATGAAGCTGTGTCCTCTTTAGCAAAATGTCAATAAAGCCAAGTCCAACCTGTGCCACTGCATTAGAAAAGATCATTTAAGGGGCGCCTGGGTGGCTTAGTCGGTTAAGCGTCCGACTTTCGCTTGGGTCATGATCTCGCGGTTCGTGGGTTCGGGCCCCGCGTCGGGCTCTGTGCTGACAGCCAGCTCAGAGCCTGGAGCCTGTTTCAGTCTGTGACTCCCTCTCTCTCTGACCCTCCCCTGCTCACGCTGTCTCTCTCTCTGTCTCCTAGAAATAAATTTAAAAAATTAAAAAAAGAAAAGAAAAGATCATTTAATTTGTAAAAACCCATTGATTTGTTCCCAGTCAATAGGACAAACTGAGCTGACACAGCAGAATACACTCTAACCCCATCCCACTTTACTTCCCACTCAAAAACACAAGTTTTGCGATATATAACTGAGTTCAACATCAAGAGAGGGAAATCTCAGAATACTAGAAATGAAAAAAGAAGTCAAGCCAGAAGAGGCAGAAGAATCTATAGCTAAAATTCAGATCAGAATCTTAAATAAATAGTAATGTTTGAGGTCCTGAGGATTTGTTACTCTCTCATGAGAGGACACTTAGGCTGTGGTACCCATGTCTACAGAGAGCTGGAACCAGGCTTCAGGTGACAAAATAATTTTCTTGAGTTATTGGAACTCTGTATGTGCCATGCTTTGTGGTGATGTCTGACATCACACTACCTATAAGATGTGGGACCCTCAAACCCCAAAATTTTAAAGTGCTTTATAATCAGCAAAACCTCAAGGTAAATAGAACAGGTACATGAAATCATTTTGCGGGAACATGTAAACGAGAGAACATTAAATGTTCACCAAAAAATCTTAAATGTGAGTGTATTTAATAAGCCAGCATTTCCACACCTAAGTATAATCTCTTGAAAAAGTTGCACATGTTTACCAAAAGACATAGATGAGAAAGTTTATAAAAATATTGTAAAAGTAAAAATATAAAACAATATAAATATTTATCATAGGAAGGAATAAATAAACAAGTTACAGTAAACTCAAACAATGGTATATCAAGAAGTCAATATGCATACTTATAATTTGTACATAATTTTCCTATGTATACTTCAAGTAAAATTTAATAATAATATTGAGTAAACTAGATTTTACTATATTGGTATTGATACATCTTGAAAAAAATGTAGAGTGAAAAAATTGCAATATAGTGCATTAGATAAAATTTGTTAATTTCAACAAGTGACCCAAAGAGGGATAGTATAAACTGTTTATGTATGTACCTATATGTGTCTATATATATATGTATATACATAAGTATACATATATATGTATATATATACATATATGTATATGTATGTGTATATATATGTATATATACATATATGTATATGTATGTGTATATATATGTATATGTATAAGTATATATACATACATATTCTATATATTTAGACATATACATATATATCTAGAATATATATACAAAATATATATACAGTAAAACCTTGGATTGAGAGTAACTTGTTTTGTGAGTGTTCCATAAGATGAGCAAACATTTCTAATAAATTTTAACTTGATAAATGAGCAATGTCTTGTAATACAAGTAGTACATGATGCTGAATGTCACATGATCACAGCTGAGTCAATGGTTCTTCTCTCTCTCTCTCTCTCGCAGTGGGATTGTGGGTGATTGTCTCCTGTGCTCAGATGCTCAGTCTCAGGGCATGGTTATTAGCTGAAATCAGTGACTTTTCAGAATGTTAGAAGGTGCCCACAACTAGCACTAGTGTATTTTTTGTCACTTTATAGCAGCTATGAACGTTCCTTTGCTTTTTCATACAAGAGTAAGCTTAGGAATGCTTTGTTTCATTCTGAGTCAGGCTGCCTGCAGATATAGACCATTTCCACAGCTGCTTTATTGCCAATTACATTAAATACAGTATATGACAAGAGTTTATTAATACTGTCCTGTAGTCAACATCTGTGTGAGTATATACAGTGGCCCCCATGCAGAAAAAGATTCCATTGAACCAATAGATAGCAGTGATTCTGTTAGTGATAGTGAAAGCCATATACACAATAATCCTATCACTCTCTCTTTTTAAATGTTTTAATGTTTTGTATATTAAATTCCTCATATGAGTGAAGTCTTAAGATACTTATTTTTTTCTGACTGATGAATTTTGCTTGGCATGATACCCTCTAGTTCCATCCATGTAGTTGCAAATGGCAAGATTTCATTCTTTTTGATTGCTGAGTAATACTCCATTGTATATGCATACCACTTCTTTTTTTAATGGAATGCTTCACGAATTTGTATGACATCCTTGCACAGGGAACTTACTAATCTTTTCTGTATTGTTCTAATTTTAGTGTATATGCTGCCGAAGTGAGCACTATACTACATCTTTATTCATTCATCCGTCGATAGACATTTGGGCTCTTTCCATACTTGGGCTATTGTCGATAGTGGTGCTATAAACATTGAGGTGCATGTACCCCTTTCAAAACAGCACACCTGTATCCTTTGGATAAATACCTAGTCCTGCAAATGCTGGGTCATAGGGTAGTTCTATTTTCAATCTTTTGAGGAACCTCCATACTGCTTTCCAGAGTGGCTACACCACTTTGCATTCCCACCAGCAGTGCAAGAGATCCTCTTTCTTTGCATCCTTGCCAACAAATACTGTTGCTTGACTTGTTAATGTTAGCCATTCTGACTAGTGTGAGGTGGTATCTCATTGTGGTTTTGATTTGTATTTTCCTGATGATGAGTGATGTGTCACATTTTTTCATGTGTCAGTTGGCCATCTGGATGACTTCTTTGGAGAAGAATGCCTTTTGCCCATTTCTTCACTGGATTATTGTTTTGGGGTGTTGAGTTTAATAAGTTCTTTATAGATTTTAGATATTAACCCTTTATCTGATATGTAATTTGCAAATATTTTCTCCTATTCTGCTGATTACCTTTTAGTTTTGCTTATCGTTTCCTTCACCTTGCAGAAGCCTTTTGTTTTGATGCAGTCCCAATAGTTCATTTTTGTTTTTGTTTCTCTTGCCACTGGAGACATGTTGAGAAAGAAGTTGCCGCAGCCGAGGTCAAAGAGGTTTTGACCTGGTTTCTCCTCAAGGATGCTGATGGCTTCCTATCTCACGCTTAGGTCTTTCATCCATTTTGAGTTTATTTTTGTGTATTGTGTAAGAAAGTGGTCCACATTCATTTTTCTTCATGTCTCTGTCCAGTTTTCCCAGCAACATTTGCTGAAAAGACTGTCTTTATTCCATTGGACATTCTTTCCTGCTTCGTCAAAGGTTAGTTGGCCATACGTTTGTGGGCCCATTTCTGGGTTTTCTATTCCATCGCATTGATCCAAGTGTCTGCTTTTGTGTCAGTACTGTACTGTCTTGATGATTACAGCTTTGTAATTCAACTTGAAGTCCAGGATTGTGATGCTTCAAGCTTTGGTTTTCTTTTTCTTTTTCAAGATTGTTTTGGCTACTCTGGATCTTTTCTTTTTCCATACAAATTTTAGGATTGTTTATTCTAGCTCTGTGAAGAATGCTTGTGTTATTTTTATAGGGATTTCATTGAATATGTAGATTTCTTTGGGTAGTATTGACATTTTAACAATATTTGCTCTTCCTATCCAAGAGCATGGAATATTTTTCTATTTTTTGTGTCTTATTCAATTTCTTTCATAAGCTTTCTATAGTTTTCTGTGTATAGATGTTTCACCTCTTTGGTTATGTTTATTCCTAGGTATTTAATGGTTTCTGGTGCAATTGTAAAACGGATCTATTCCTTGATTTCTCTTTCTGTTGCTTCATTGTTGGTGTACAGGAATACAACTGATTTCTGTGCATTGATTTTATATCCTGTGATTTTGCTGAATTCATGTATCAGTTCTAGCCGTCTTTTGGTGGAATCTTTTGGGTTTTCCATATAGAGTATGATGTCATCTGCAAAGAGTGAAAGTTTCACTTCCTCCTGGCCAATTTGGATGCGTTTTATTCCTTTGTGTTGTCTGATTGCTGAGACTAAGACTTCCAATACTATGTTGAATAACAGTGATGAAGGTGGACATCCCTGTCTTGTTCCTGACATAAGGGAGAAAGCTCTCAGTTTTTCACCATAGAGGATGATATTAGTGGTGATTCATTCATATATTGCTTTTATGATCTTGAACTATGATCCTTCTATCTCTACTTTCTTGAGGGTTTTTATCAAGAAAGATGCTATATTTTGTCAAATGCTTTCTCTGCATCTGTTGAGAGGATCATGTGTTTCTTGTCCTTTCATTTATTGATGTGATGTGTCACATTGATCATTTTGTGGATATTGAACCATCCCCGTATCCCAGGTATAAATCCCAATTGGTCATGGTGAATAATTTTTTTAATGTATTGTTGGATCCGGTTGGCTAGTATCTTGTTAAGGATTTTTGCATCCATGTTCATCAGGGAAATTGGTCTGTAGTTCTCCTTTTTAGTGGAGTCTTTGTCTGGTTTTGGAATCAAGGTAATGCTGGCTTCATAGAAAGAGTTTGGAAGTTTTCCTCTCATTCCTTTTTTAGAAACGGCTTCAAGATAATAGATGTTAACCCTTCTTTAAATGTTTGGTAGAATTCCCCTGGAAAGCCATCTTATTTTAGGAAAGCCATCTTTTTAGGAATTACTAATTCTCTTTATTGATTATGGGTCTGTTCAACTTTTCTATTTCTTCCTTTTTCAGTTTTGATAATTTAATTGTTTCTAGGAATTTGTCCATTTCTTCCAGATTGGCCATTTTGTTGACATATAATTGCTCATAATATTGTCTTATTATTGTTTGAGGTTTTTCTGCTGTGTTGGTTGTGATTTCTCCACTTTCATTCTTTTATTGTTAAAAAAATTTTTTTAAGTTTATTTATTTTTGAGAGAGACAGAGCATGAACTGGGGAGGGGCAGAGAGAGAGGGAGACAAAGAGGCAGACTCCAGGCTCTGAGCTATCAGCACAGAGCCTGACATGGAGCTTGAACCCACCAACCATGAGATCATGACCTGAGCAAAGTCAGATGCTCAACTGACTGAGCCACACAGGCATCCCTCCTCTTTCATTCTTGATGTTATTTATTTGAGTCCTTTCCTTTTTTGATCAAATTGGCTAAGGGTTTATCAATTTTGTTAATTCTTTCAAAGAACCAACTTCTGCTTTCATTGAAATGTTCTACTGGGTTTTTGTTTGTTTGTTTATTTCAATAGTATTGATTTCTGCTCTAATCTTTATTATTTCCTATCTTATGCAGTTTGGGGGTTTTATTTGCTGTTCTTTTTTCCACCTGTTTAATGTATAGGGTTAGGTTAAGTATCTGAGACCTTTTTTCCTTCTTTAAGGAGGCCTGGATTGCTATATACTTCCCTATTATGACCATCTTTGTTGCATCCCAGTTTTGGGCATTGGTGTTATCATTTTCATTGGCTTCCATGTACTTTCTAATTTCCACTTTAACTTCTTGGTTAGCCTATTCATTCTTTAGTTGGATAGTCTTCAGTCTCCAAGTATTTGTTATCTTTCCACATTTTTTCTTGTGGTTGGTTTCGAGTTTCATAGCATTGTGGTCTGAAAATATAAACGGTATGATCTCAATATTTTTGTACTTGTTGAGGTCTGGTTTGTGTCCCAGTTTGTAATCTATTCTGGAGAATGTTCCATGTGCACTGGAGAAGAATGTGCATTCCACTGCTTAGGTTTAAATATTCTGAATATACCTGTTAAGTCCATCTGGTCCAGTGTGCAATTCAAAGCCATTGTTTCCTTATTGATTTTCTGTTTATATGATCTGTCTCTTGCTGTAAGTGGGATGTTGAAGTCCCCTACTATGGTATTATTATCAATGAGTTTCTTTATGTTTGTGATTAATTGATAGTAGATTTGTGTGCTTCTGTATTTAGATAAAAATGTTTATAATTGTTAGATATTCTTGGTGGATAGACCTCTTAATTATGATATAATGCCATTATTCACCTCTTGTTAGAGTCTTCATTTTAAAGTCTAGATTGTCTAATATAATATGGCTATTCCAGGCTTCTTTGGGTGACCATTAGCATGACAGACGGTTCTGCATCCCCTTACTTTCAATCTGAAGGTCTTTAGGTCTAAAATGGTCTATTGTAAACGGCATGTAAATGGATCTTGTTTTCTTATCCATTCTGTTTCCCTATGTCTTTTGATTGGAACATTTAGTCTATTGACTAAATGAGTGAGTACTGAAAGATATTAATTTATTGCCATGATGTTGCCTGTAGAGTTGGAGTTTCTGGTAGTATTCTCTGGTCCTTTCTAGTCATTTTTGCTTTTGGCCTTTTTTTTTTGGTTTGTTTTTTATTCATCTTTTCTCCCCTCAGAGAGCCCCCCTTAAAATTTTTTGCTGAGCTGGTTTAGAGGTCATGAACTCCTTTAAATTTTATTTGTCTGGGAAACTTTATTTTTTTTACATTTATTTATTTATTTTTAAAATTTAACATTTATTTATTTTTGAGAGACAAAGAGAGACGGTGTGATCAGGGGCGGGGCAGAGAGAGAGAGAGAGAGGGAGACACAGATTCTGAAGCAGGCTCCAGGTCTGAGCTGTCAGCACAGAGTTCAATGCGGGGCTTGAACTCATGAACCGTGAGATCATGACCTGAGTCGAAGTCAGATGCTTAACTGACAGAGCCACCCAGACGCTCCTACTTTTATTTATTTTTGAGAGACAGAGGGAGACAGAGCACAAGTAAGAGAGGAGCAGAGAGAGAGGGAGACACAGAGAGAGGGAGACACAGAATTCCTAACAGGCTCCAGGCTCTGAGCTAACAGCTCAAACCCATGAACCATGAGATCATGACCTGAGCCAAAGTTGGATGCTTAACCAACTGAGCCACTCAGGCACCCCGAGTTTTTGTTGTCTGGGAAACTTTTTATCTCTCCTTCTATTTTGAATGACAGACTTGCTGGATAAAGAATTCTTGGCTGCATATTTTTCTGATTCAGCACGTTGAATATATCCTGCCACTCTTTTCTGGCCTGCCAAGTTTCTGTGGATAGGTCTGCTGCAAACCTGATCTGTCTTCCCTTGTAGGTTAAGAACTTTTTTTTTCCATTGCTGCTTTTATGATTCTTTCCTTGCTTGATTATTTTGAGAATCTGACTATGATATGCCTTGTTGATGGTCGGTTTTTGTTGAGTCTAATAGGAGTCCTCTGTGATTCCTGGATTTTGATGTCTGTGTCTTTCCCCAGGTGAGGAAATTTTTCCACTATTGTTTGCTCACATAACTCTTCTATCCCTTTTTCTCTCTCTTCATTTTATGGGACCCCTATGATTAGGATGTTGTTCCTTTTTCATGAGTCACTGATTTCCCTAATTCTTAAATTGTGT